TTATCCAAAGGATCAAACTCTTTCTCTTCGCCATCGAACATGACTTTACCAACAAGAGGATTTCCAACAATTAAGGCGCCTTTCTTGGAATAATAATCTTCTGTGCGTTCTTGCAACGCCTTTAAAGTCGCTAATGAAGGAGCAAGTCTAATGCGCTTTGTCTCTGATAAATACTTTTCCGTGCGAGGATCTCGTAATGCGGGAAAAGGTACTTGGTATAAGGGACCTTCAGGAATAATAACGACCTCGTCTTGCTTCGACGATAGTATTCTTTCACATTTTAAGATTTTAAATAGAGCTTCTAGAGTAGATCCCTTGGTTTCAGCACTATTCTCATTCAGCAGTAATGCCGTTGCTTGATTAAGTTCCTCGTATTCTTCTTGGCTTCTTCTTTGTTCTTTTTGAATATCTTCTTCTTTGTCCAAGGACCTGTTCTCACAGTCAACCACCTCACGAACACCCATTTCGTCAAACAACGTATCGACGTCTATCTGTAGGGAATGATTAAGACAACCGGAATAATGCAAATTTGTCTCCCCTCCAACAAAAAACTTCAGAAAAGCACCAAAACAAAGTGAGTAAAAGGCAATGCTGAAGTCATTTCTTGAGACCAGGGACAAAACATCGCTGTACTCTAGGTGTTCATCATTGCTCTTCTCTTGTTCCATCTTGAAGTTTGACATCATAAGATCTTTCAATGCTCTTGCACGACAACGATCTAACACTAAAACCGCTTCCTCGATCTGTTTGTCTTTGGTTAACAGTATTGCCAACAGCTTATAACTATCGACATATTTGTCAAATATGGAGATCTTGAATTCATCAAGACTACCAAGTGCGGTAAAGATCGCTTCAAAGCATCGTATAGCTTTTCTTAGATAATGTTCTGCCACGTTCAGTTCTCTGTTCAATGAACACAATAATTGACCAAAGCCATAATAGAATTGGGATAGCTGCCCAGTATCAGAGCAAGACTCAGCAGTAGGTAGCCCTTCTTTGAAGCAGCGTACAGCCATGTTATTCTGACCCATCGAATGATAGAAGTTTCCCATTTCTCTGATACAGAACAAGTTCACAGAACAACTAACGTCCACCTCTTTAAACTGCTCAAGGCAATTGATTGTTTTTTCATATTCTTTTCTAGAACGATAAAAATTGTAAAGCCTCATGAAAGCTCTGGATTTCTTCTTTTTATTGCCTGTCTTCACCGCTTGGTCAAGATCCTGTAATAACTCATCTTCAGAACATGTTGGTACCTCTAAGAATTCATTTACTGAGGGTATACTACGCTTGTCAACCAAACCAACACATCCATAAAAAATAGAACTAGTTTCTTTGAAGTTTTCTTCAGCTTCTTTGTCTCCGAGCTCTGTAGCAATCGCCATGCCTGCATCTATACTCTGAGACACTTCATTCAACTGCATCGAGTCCATATGTGTATGAGCGAGACAATAATGTCCGTCCATTTCAGTTTTTTTGTCGCCAATTTCTTGAGAGATGTCCAGGCATTTCTTACCGTATTTGATGGCTTTATCGATGCTTTCTTTATCAACTGATCTGTGGTATACAGACGCAAGACCCAGATATGCTTGTGCTTCAATCTTTTTCTCACCAGTTTCTTGTGCCATGTTGATGCATTTCTTGAAATTCTGAATGGCATCATCGTATTTCTGCAAGTAATAATATATCACTCCAAGGAATCTATAAGCATTAGCCTCATCTACTTTATCGCCAATAGATATTGCAAGCTCAATACACTTGTTGCAAAAGATAATTCCATTGTCGTAGTCGGAAAGAGCGTTATATATCTGCCCCATTACTAGGTAAGCCTTGACTTCAACACGTCTTTCTTCTATTTCCCTTGCTATTTCAATGCATTTCTTTACAAAGTCAGCGGCATCTTGATAGTGTTTCAAGGCAAGATGTGCTTGTCCTAGCTTCGAGTACGCGTTCATCATCATTGCCTTCTGATCGTTGTTTTTCATGGCGCAATCAAGGAGCTTGTGCGCATACAGAATAGTGTCATCATGTTTCTGCATGTGTCTATACGCGACCATTAGGCGGCAATATGCATTCATCATGCCTTCAGTACTATCAATTTCCTGGGCCATTTTAAGACATTTCTTGCCACAGTCAATAACATCATCATAACGAGCAAAGTACAAAAATGCATTTCCCATTTCCTGATGGCCATACATTTCGCTTTCTTTATCGCCTATAGTTTGAGCAATTTCGATCATTTTCTCAGCGTGCAAGACAACGTTTTCAAACTCGTTGAGCCCCCTATATGTGAAGGACAAATATGTATGAACTATTAACTCATAACATGGTATTGCTACAGCTAACGGTA